AAGCACAGCTATGATTCAACTTTACTTTTTACTTTTGCTCTCTTTTCTTTCCTTTAAAATTAAAAAAATTATTGGTTGATTTTTAGAGATAGAGGAAGGAAGAGAAAGAGAAACATCAATTTGTTGTTCCACTTATTTATGCATTCATCTGTTTATTCTTGTATGTGCACTGACTGGGGATCGAACCTGCAACTGTGGCGTATCAGGATGACGCTCTAACCAATCAATCAAGCTGGCCGGCCAGGGCTTGCTCTCTTTTCTAAATTGAGCTTGCTGGGGAGGTGTGATGGCAGAGGTGTAATGTAGTGGAATGAAAGGCAGGCGCTCTGGAGTTCGGGCAGCTTGAGTTTAGACCCTAGCAGCCCCCCTTCTGGCTACTGAAGTGCTTTGAGCCTCAGTTTTCTTATCTGCAGGAAAAAAATGAGTTCATACACTTAAAAATGAGTTTCTAATCAGTATTTACCACATAGTAAACTGATTATTTTAGAGGGACTTTTGTGCAGTTTCATCTTAAGAGAACATTTGGAGAGTCAGGAATAGAATTAAGCGGATCAGAGGAATTAAAGGCTTTCTCTGAGCTCTGGTCCCAGCAGGGCATGCTCCATCAGCCTGAGGCTTTGTGGAAGAACCCTAAACATTGAGGAGTGTTTATCCTGCAGGAGAAGTAGGGAGCTGGCTCAGAATATGTGAAGTGAGGGTTCTGACTTGTGGTGGTGGGTTCCCTTTTATTTGGGAGGGGGCTTCAACGTTGGATTCCTCCCTCTTGCCTGTGGAAAAGAGGATCCCCTTTCATTGAATGGCACAGCACCCCTTCCAGAATTGTAGGTTTCTGAGAGTTTGTCATGAATTTCTGGCTTGGGCATCTGAGTCTCTTCTGCTTTTCCACTCGAGGCGCCAGACAGGGTGTAGACTGTCTCTGCAGTGCTGTTCCCAGCCCTTTACCAGAGCTTAGCCCTAAGTATCAGCTCCTCCAAGCTTGTGTAAAGTCTTGTCACCCTTGCCCTGGCCAGTTTGGCTCAGTGGTTGAGTGTCGGCCTGTGGACCAGAGAGTCCCGGGTTCGGTTCCCTCTAGGGGCATGTACCACCAAAAAAAAATAAGTAAAGTCTTGTCACCTTTCAGAGAAAGACAAATACCATATGATTTCCCTCATATGTGGAATCTAAAAAACAAAATAAATGAATAAACAAAACAAAAACTCATAGATACAGAGTACTGACACTTGCCAGGGTGGAGGGGTGGGGGCAGGGTACTGACAGTTGCCAGGGTGGAGGGGTGGGGGGCAGGGTCGGAAAAAGTGAAGGGATTGAGAAGTACAAAACAGTCACTGGATGTAAAGTACAACCTAGGGGATATAGTCAGTAATATTGCAATAACTGTGTATAATGCCAGGTGGGTACTAGACTTATGGGTGATCACTTCTAAAGGTATATAAATGTCTATTCACTATGTTTTATGCCAAGTACCAAGCTCAGGGCCTTGGGAAAGCTTTGCAAACAGGAACTGTTTGAGTTGGATCTTGAGAATGAGTGAGGCTGAAAGGTTTGGAAGATAGACTAGTTCAGTCAGGTCATTAAAATGGCTCCTTGAGCCCTGGCTAGGAGCTCAGTTGGTTAGAGCATCGTCCTGACACACCATGATTGTGGGTTTGATCCAGTCGTGGCACATACAAGAATCAACTAATGAATACATAAATAAGTGGAACCAAAAAAAAGCAATGTTTCTCTCTCTCTCTGCCTTCCTCTCTGTCTTTAAAATCAGTAATCCGCTCTAAAAATAAATAAGTTTAAAAATGGCTCCTTGAGCTGGTGGTGCCAGACCCCATATGTGAAAAGGGACGTGGACTGCTCACTCACTACGCTGCTTCTTTTGTGTTGCTGACTGTAAAGTTCAGTAGGTGTTCATTCACCAGGTGACTGCCACCTGCCTCAAGCCACCTGGAAGGACCTGCTTAGCTCTAAAAGCATTTATTGCCCTGGCCAGTCTGGTTCAGTTGGTTGAGCGTGGTCCTGGGCACCGAAAGGTCGCTGGTTCAGGGCAAATACCCAGGTTGTGGGTCCAATTCCTGGTCAGGGTGTGTATTGGAGGCAACATTGATATTTCTCTCTCCCTCCCGCTCCCTCGCCCTCTCTCTCTCTCTCTAAAATAAATAAAAATGTGTTTAAAAACAAACAAACATAAATAAAAGCACCTCTCCTGTGGAGCTTTTGCTATGTTAGTGTCCTGGGACTGCATAAATAGCAAACTGGTCTGTCAGCTCTGGAAACACTTTAGCAGTGCAAGATCAAGATGTCGCAGGGTCGGTTCCTTCTGAAGCTGAGGGAGAGTCTGTTCTAGGTCTTTCCCCCGGCTGCTGGTGATTGGCTGTCTCTGTCCGAATTTCCTATTTGTAATGCCTTAACTAATTAATCTACAAAGACCCTATTGCCAAATAAGGTCACATTCTGTGGTATTGGGCTTTCGGGCTTCACTTTTTGGGGACACAGTTCATCCCATAACACCCTCTGTCTGCTCTTTCCGTTTCTACCATTGGGTGCGTGCTCCCTGCTGGTGTGTGAGTAGTTTCTGTCCCGGCTCCAAGAGTCTTTGCATACATTTGTTTGTGTAGTGTCTTCTGGCAGTTTTGTAACTTTTTTTATCTTCACCCTAGGACATTTTTCCATTTTTGTTCAAATAGAGTGGGAGGGAGGGAGGGAGAGAGAGAGAGAGAGAGAGAGAGAGAGAGAGAGAGAGAAACATCAACGTGAAAGGGACACATTGAGTGGCTGCCACCCGCACGACCAACCAGGGCTGGGGACAAACTACAACCCAGGTACGTGCCCTTAGCGGGAACTTAACTCGGGTCCCTCTGGACCGCAGGTGGATGCTCTAACCACTGAGCCAATCCAGCCAGGGCCTTATCTCTGGTGCCTTGCATATAGTGTGGAAAGTAGCTCTATGTAGATGTAGTGAGCACCTGGAGTTACTAGACATGGAGGAAGATACTGCAGAGGCCTCCTTTCCTGTTCTTCTATTGACAATGCCACGGGCTGTCTGGAGTTGGGTGTCAGGTGGCCTAGGACACCAGCAGAGGCCACCACTTTTGTTAAGCATATGTAATGCTTCCTGGTTCATTTTCCACAGAGCAATAATTCATTATCTCCTAGCAGTAATCATTCTTTCTGAGATATATTTTAAGAGCATTTAACAACTGACAAGATCCTCTGGGTTTTCTAGCAGAGGCCTTCTTGTTTCAGCCTGTGGTTTGAGTGTTCTGCCTTTAGAGATTCAAAAATGAATTATGTGAATGGTGGGAATAGTTAGCTGTTAGCAAAATGTCTGTGCCAGAAGGGAAATGCTAAGAAATAGTGGAATTTGCCCAAAAGCTTTAGAATAAGCCCATTAGATATCTTAGAGAAGCAAAAAAATTGTCTGATGTCTGATTTGAGGTTTAGTTACACATTAGTGAGGATGGATGGATTCTCTCAGAGCTAAGAAAGAATATTCCTCGGTACCCTTTGTTGTTTCCAGGTCAATAAATGACAAACGTGGCAGAGTGGTGTCTTCTGGGACATTAGAAAAGAGGGGATATTAATCTTAAAATAGTTTTTCATCCCAGTATTAGTAATATCTGTCCAAAAGAACACGCTGAAATGTGTTTGCCTGAAGACAGACAGAGACTAGTGTGCGTAAGGTCTGGAAGTACTTCGTTCTAAGAGCATTTCAGATACATACAAAATACAGTGGTATATAGTGCACCCTGCTTTATCCTTCATCCAGCGTCAGTGCCTACAGCCAGTCTTGTTTCTCTTGTGCACCCTTACTCGGCCTCCACACCATACAGTGTCTTGTCATTTCATCCAGAAATATTTCTGTATCTAATATGACTGTAATGATATCATACCTTAAAAATTTTTTTTTAAATCCTCACCCCAGGATATTTTTTCATTTATCTTCAGATAGAGTGGGAAGGAGGGAGAAGGGGGAGAGAGAGGGAGAGAAAAACATCAACGTGAGAGAGACACATCGACTGGTTGCCTCCTACACGACCCCGACCAGGGGCGAGGACTGAGCCATAACAGAGGCACATGCTCTTGACTGGAATCGAACCCAAGACTCTGGTCTGCAGGCTGACGCTCTAACTGCTGAGCCACACCGGCCATGGCCACACCTAAAAATTTTAATAGTCATTTCTTGATACCATCCTAGTCTAATTAGTGTTTAAATTTCTAATTGTCCCATGTGACACATTTATTTATTGTTATTTATTTTTTATCCTCACCCAAGGACATTTTGCATTTATCTTCAGTTAGAGTTGGGGGAGGGGAGGGGAGAGGGAAGAAGAGAGAGAGAAATATCGATCTGAAAGAGAAACATCGAGTGGCTGCCACCCACATGACCCCAACCAGGGCCAGGCACAAACTGCAACCAAGGTACATGCCCTTAGTGGGAACCCAACCTGGGACTCTCTGGTCTGCGAGCTGATGTGCTAACTGCTGAGCCAAACTGGCCGGGGCTATTTATTTATTTATTTTTAATTTTTTTTTCTTTATTTTTAGAGAGAGAGGAAGGGAGAGGGAGAGAGAGAAACATCCATGAGAGAGAACATCTATTAGCTGCCTCCTGCATGCCCCCCACTGGGGATTGAGCCCACAATCTGGGCATGTGCCCTGACCAACCAGGAATCGAACCAGTGAACTCTTGGTGCATGAGTCGACGCTCAACCACTGAGCCATTTTTTAAAAACCCTCACTGGAGGGCATGCTCACTGATTTTAGAGAGAGAGAGGAGGGGAGGGAGAGATAGAAAGAAACATCGATTGGCTGCCTCCTGCACACACCCCAACTGTGGGCTGAACCTGCAGCCTAGGCATACACCCCAACCAGAATTGAACCCATAACCTTTTGGTGCATGGGATGACGTTCCAACCAACTGAACCACACCAGCCAGGGCCCAGGTGTAATTTTAGATTTTTATTTTACAGTTTGTTTGAATTGAGATCTAACTAAAATCTTTTTATTAGCTGTCAGGTATTAAGCAGGGAGTGAGTTACATGATTTTGAACTGCCTGTGGAGAACGGATTGGTGTGGGCGTTGTTCGGAGACTGGAGGTGAAGAAACTGTTAGGAGGCTGTTTCATATCCAGTAGGTGGGTGGTCCTTCTCTAGATGAGAGTGGTGTGATCAGGTGGAGACAGGTAGCTAAATGTGAGATGTCATATGGGTAGGCCAGGTTTGTTTACTGTGGTTCATCCAGACTTTGGGTTCATTGGGTGTGTATGTTTGAAAGTATTGTTCCCAGAGATTTCATTGATTTAGGTATTAACATGTTAAGATTTGTGAAATCTTAAAAAATTTTACACAGGTAAATTTATAGCAATTCATAGATATTGAGATAGAGAAATATTAATCTGTGCTTCTTGGGTCAGTTTATTCCACTTTAATACAGCTTATTTGCCATGATACTGTTTTGTCTGTGTGGTGTGATTATAATTATAATACTGATAAGGTTATAGGAGATTTATCTTCAGAGTGGGAGGGAAAGGAAGAGAGAGAGAGAGAAACATCGATGTGAGAGAGACACATCGATTGGTTGCTTCCCAGATGACCCCGACCAATGCTGGGAACCGAACTGCAACTGTGGTATGTGCCCTTGACTGGAATCGAACTCACGACTCTATGGTTCATGGGCCAATGCTCTAACCACTGAGCAAAATCGGCTAGGGCTACAGTTTACATTTAATATTATTCTGTATTATTTTCAGGTATACTGCATAGTGTTTAGACAGCCATGTACTTTATAAAGTAGTCCTCCCAATATTTCAAGTACTTGCCTGGCCCCATATGTAGAGAATTGTTTTTACATTTGTATTTTTCCATTAAAATTGGATTAAGTAATACCGTTTTAGTAGAGATCTTCCTAGGAAAAATTTATTGTCTTAACACACTCTTTTGTTGTTGTTGTTGTGGTTAATCCTCATCCGAGGATATTTTTCCATTGAGTTTTAGACAATGGAATTGGGGGGGGGGGCATCAATGTGGGAGAGACACATCCATTGGTTACCTCCTGCACAACCCCGACTGGGGAGCAATCCTGCAACTTGTTGGGGAACAAGCCTTGTTGGGTAATCAAACCTATGATCCATCATTCTGAGGGCCAATGCTCTAACGATGCTCTAACCGCTGAGCCAAACCATCCAGGGCCCTCTTTTTTTTTTTAATCCTCACCCAAGGATATGTTGTGTATTTTTTAAATTGATGAGAGAGCCCTGGCCGGTTTGGTTCAGCGGTTAGAGCGTCGGCCTGCGGTGCTGAGAGACCTGGGTTCGGTTCCCGCTAAGTTGCGCATGCCTCGGTTGCAGTTTGTCCCCGGCCCTGGTCGGTTGTGCGGGTGGCAGCCACTCGATGTGTTCCTTTCACATCGATGTTTCTCTCTCTCTCTGTTCCTCTCTCTCCCTCCCACTCTACCTGAACAAAAAATGGAAAAATGTCCTCGGGTAAGGATAAAATAAATAAATAAATAAATTGATGAGAGAGAGAGAGAGAGAAAGAGAGAACGAGAAAGAGAAACATCAGTATGAGAGAGAAACATCGATTGGTTGCCTCCCGTATGCACCCAGCCCAGGCTGGGGACTGAACTCACAACCTAGGTATGTACCCTGACTGGGAATCGAACCCACAGCCTTTTGATGTACGGGACAATACTCCAACCGCTGGAGCCACCCAGCCAGGGCATGTTTATCTTTAATTATTGAGCTCAGAATATGTATACTTTGACTTTGATTTAAGTTTATAGACTTCCTTATTGAAGGAATAGAACACACATATGTCTGGTGTGTAGTCTTTATCTTTTCCCATTCACATGGCAATTTGTAACAAAAAGGGAGCTGTCTCTGCCTTATCTTTAACATGTTGGTTTTACAAAGCTTCTTTTCTTCCAGTCAGCTCTGGGAACCAGGAAGCAGCTGTAGTTGCCTCTTAAATGTTCCCTTGTCCCTGTTTACTGACAAAATGGCTTAAAATTGGAACTCATTTAGTAATAGAGAAATCATTATTTGTATACTGTATATACTTTTTTGTCTTTTTTTGGTGAAATAGAACATTTTATCATTGGCTCAGAATGTTAGGCTTCACTTAAATTTACTGAAGTGTTAGACAACCATTATTGTTTTGTTCTTTGGGTCATACTTTTAGAGCACACTAGGTTAAAGTAAACAGATTAAACTAAAATTCTAAAGGAAACAATAAGAGAACAGTAGTTTAAAGACTATGTTTAGGTTGTTGGTTCATTTATTCTGTGCTGACTTTTAGTCCCCTGTTGTTTCATGCTTTGTCTTTCAGTCCTCAGCATACTGCCATTTTATGTGTGCTGTTAACTCTATTTATCTTTAGGTTTCAGAAGGGCAATATCCAAATTGATTTTTTTCTTTAAAAAAAGTTTTCTTAACTGATTCTTTGGTTCTCGGTACCACAAAATATTTTTTGTATGAACTATTCTTCACAGCCTTGTGTTCCTAGTTCAGTGGCATTGGTATCACATGGGAGCTGGTGAGACATGCAGAATCTCAGGCCCCACCCAGTCCTACTGAATCTGAATTTGTATCTTAACAAGATTCTCAGATGACTCACAGGGAAGGGCAAAAGTAAGTTTACAGTTGTTTGTATGGAAAATAATACAGTAATAAATAATAATACAAGAATAAACTCTGTTTTGCGGACTCACAACTGTAAACCTATTTTTGCCAAACCCTGTATGTGCACATTAAAAAGGTTGACAGTGCCAGCCCTGGCTGGGTGGCTCAGTTTGTTGGAGCATCATCCTGTACACCAAAAAGGTTGCGGGTTCAATTCTAGGTCAGGGTGTGTATGGGAGAAAACTCACCAATGTTTCTCTCTCACGTCGATGTTTCTCTCTCTCTCTCTCATCAATAAACATTAATCAGGATTTAAAAAAAAAAAAAAGCTAACAGTGCCAACCCTGGATTCTCTGGGCCTCCTGATCAAGGCCAGTCTTTGTACCTGTGTCCCTGATTTCATCCTTTCCCATACTTTGGGGATACTCCCCCACTTCTGATGCCACTCACAGTCATCATCACTCATAATGTGGCTTGGAGGTAAGAAGACAGTCTTTGCAGCCAGATGGGCTTTCTTGGCATCCCAACTCTGCTTCCTACTCCAGTCAACACCTCTGCCTGTCTCAGCGAGTCCAGCTTCCCCAAAGTGAGGGCCATGTCTGATTAATTTTTGTGGCCAGCACAGTGACTGGACATAATAGATGCTCAGTAAATACTGCATGTATATTGTTAAAACTATCATTCAGTGCTGTATAGAAACAATAGTAATTGAACCACTCATGTGATGATTAGTAAAGGTGCTGTTTAGAGATTTAGTAAAGATGAACATAATTTAGTGTTTGAACATCATTTGAAATAAAAGACTGGGATTAAAAAGAATGTAAAGTAAGTGGCCATATTAGCAGACTTTTAGATTTGTGCCCTTTGGGCATTTTTTAGGTTATTCATAAGGTAGGTCATGTTGACATTATGGTACCTACTGTTGAGCCAAAAAGGTGGTGTTGAAGAGGGTCATTTCTTTTTATCCTCACCCGAGGACATTTTTCCATTTTTTGTTCAGGTAGAGCGGGAGGGAGAGAGAGGAACAGAGAGAGAGAGAAACATCGATGTGAAAGGAACACATCGAGTGGCTGCCACCCGCACAACCAACCAGGGCCGGGGACAAACTGCAACCGAGGTACGTGCCCTTAGCGGGAACCGAACCCGGGCCTCTCAGGACCGCAGGCCGACGCTCCAACCGCTGAGCCAAACCGGCCAGGGCTCTTTTTTTTTTTTTTTAATATGTTTTTAGCTAGGCTGGTGTGGCTCAGTGGTTGAGCATCGACCCATGCATCAGGAGGTTGCCAGTTCAATTCCTGGTCAGGGCATATGCCTAGGTTATGGGCCTGATCCCTGGGGGGGCGCATGCAGTAGGCGGCCATTCGATGTTCTCTCTCATTGATGTTTCTATCTCTTTCCTTCTCCCTTCCTCTCTCTAAAATCAATAAAGAAAAAAAGTTTGTTTGTTTTTTTTAATCCTCACCCGAGGACATTTTTTGATATTTTGTTCAGATAGAGTGGGAGACCCTGGCCGTTTTGGCTCAGCGGTTGGAGCGTCGGCCTGCGGTACAGAGAGACCCGGGTTCGGTTCCCGCTAAGGGCACGTACCTCGGTTGCAGTTGGTCCCCGGCCCTGGTTGGTCGTGCGGGTGGCAGCCACTCGATGTGTTCCTTTCACATCGATGTTTCTCTCTCTCTCCCTTCCTTGCTCTCCCTCCCGCTCTATCTGAACAAAAAATGGAAAAATGTCCTCAGGTGAGGATTAAAAAACAAACAAACAGATAGAGTGGGAGAGAGAGAAACATTAATGTGAAAGGGACACATCGAGTGGCTGCCACCCACACAACCCAACCAGGGCCGGGGACAAACTGCAACCGAGGTACGTGCCCTTAGCGGGAACCGAATCTGGGTCTTTCCAGACCACAGGCCGACACTAACCGCTGAGCCAAACCGGCCAGGGCAAGAAAAAAACGTTTTAAAAAAATCTTTAAGTGTGTTTTTATTGATTTTTTTTTTAGAGAGGAGGGGAGAGAAACATCGATGTGAGAGAGAAACATTAATTGGCTGCCTCCTACACGCCCCCCATTGGGATTTAAGCCCAAAACCCAGGCCTATGCCCTGACCAGGAATCCAACCAGGATTTCTCAGTCCAGGGCAAGACGCTCAATCCACTGAGCCACACCAGCCAGGCGAAGAGGGGGTCATTTCTTATTTGTATGGATAGATTGTGAGCAGCAAGCCTTTGCAAAATCACTGCTGATGCTTTCTTGGGAAAATACTGTAAGTCAAATTTATCCAGAAATGAATGATGTGTGACAATGTTCTGACTTGAAACTATCTTGTCAAATTTTTACTGTCTAGTTCTTCTGGTTGTCAGAGGACATGCTAGCTTTGTTAGGTTGTTCTCCTGTTGTCTGCTGAAGAACCATGGTAAGGACAAGAAATGCCATTGGCTGGTGGGAGATGGCTGATCAGCTGTGTGCCCCGAGGCCACAAAGAAGCCTCACACGTTAAGGCTCGGGACTGGTCAGGCAACGAGAGCACCCAGATGCTGAAGATTTATTTATCAGGCTGACGTGCTCACTATGAAATCCTGTTGCACATTGATTAAAAAACAATACTTTCTTTCATTGTGATTCTGTAGGAACCTAGAAAAATTGTGCAATGAATGGTGATACTCAAGCCGCAGTGGTGACCTCACCACCCCCGACCACAGCCCCTCACAAAGAGAGGTACTTCGACAGGGTGGATGAAAACAATCCTGAATACCTTCGAGAGAGGAACATGGCACCAGATCTTCGCCAGGACTTCAACATGATGGAGCAAAAAAAGAGGGTGTCCATGATACTGCAGAGCCCCGTAAGAGCAGCTTCTATTTGAAGTATCTTCTGACTTCTCCAGTGCTTGAGCTCTGGCACTCTGTTCTGTGTGTCATAGTCAGGCTGTCTTAGCACAGGAAGTCAGGGCCTTGTATACATGTATCGCTGTCGAAAGAGTTCAGCTTAGTTAAACTTATCAGACACAATAGGGAAAAATCTTCAGTGTCGTAAAGGATAGCAGATGTTTCTTTCTCGTTTTTATTCTTCTGCTTCTCAGAGAGTCCCTATTCATTGATACCTTTTAAAGATTACTGTTTTTTGCACAATACGTACTTTGGTGCTGGGCACATGGTAGGCTCAGCAGTGCTTGATTTACTGATTGATCATGATTGATCAGCATTTGAATGACAGTCACACCCAACAAAGTGTCTTCTGTTTGCATGTTTAGGTGAAGGAGCGCAGTCTCTAGGTTTCCTCATGTAGATGCAGCTGCCCTGTGTACCCCATTCTGCTGATCTTTTTTACTTCATTCCTTAATATTTAGGGATGTCATTGTCAGATAGTCATAGAGTTTTTTATTAATGCTTATTATCGCTTATGTGCTGTTCAAGGAACTGGCCTCTAACTCCTGGTTGGTTTGTTTGGTTGTTATTACTATTCACATATTACTTACAGGAAAGTACACAGATATTTTTTGGTTTGTTTGTTTTGTTTTGTTTGTTTTTGTACGTGCCCCTAGCGGGAACCGAACCCGGGACTCTCTGGTCCGCGGGCCAACACTCCAACCGCTGAGCCGAACTGGCCAGGGCCTTTTTATTTATTTTTTTAATCCTCACCCAAGGATATTTTCTCATTTTTTGTTCACATAGAGTGGGAGGGAGAGAGAGGAAGAGAGAGAGAGAGAATCATTGACGTGAAAGGGACACAGCGAGTGGCTGCCACCCACACAACCAACCAGGGCCGGGGACAAACCGCAACCGAGGTACATGCCCCTAGCGGGAACCGAACCCAGGTCTCTCTGGATCGCAGGCCGATGCTCTAACCGCGGAGCCAAACTGGCCAGGGCCACAAGATTTATTTTTTTATTGGATATGTGGAAAATTATTTTAATATAGCTTGGGAAAACTATAAATTATGTGTATTGATTTAGTAGTGACTTCATGTTAAAATCATCATCAACTCAACCTTACTGCCTAATTTAGAATTATTTTATAAAGGATGAATGTTTTAGGGGTTCCTTTTCAATTTTAAAGTCATTTTTAAAAGTGTATGATGAGCCCTGGCCGGTTTGGCTTAGCGGTTAGAGCATCGGCCTGCGGTCCAGAGAGACCCGGGTTCGGTTCTCGCTAAGAGCATGTATTTCGGTTGCAGTTGGTCCCCTGCCCTGGTTGGGTCATGCGGGTGGCAGCCACTCGATGTGCCCCTTTCATGTTGATGTTTCTCTCTCTTCCTCTCCCTCCCTCTGAACAAAAAATGAAAAAAATGTCCTCAGGTGAGGATAAAAAAGAAATAAAAGTGTATGATGAGGAAAATATTGAGAAGCCCCAACTAGAACATGAAAATTACTAGTAATTCTGTCACAGAATTACAATGAACATTTTTTTTGTGAGTATGTGTTCTTAGTGGGAGCCGAACCCGGGTCTCTCTGGACTGCACGCTCTGACCGCTGAGCCAAACCGGCCAGGGTTGTTTTGTCTTTTGTCAGTACTGCTGGGATGAGCATCCTGCTGATAAATCTGGAGCACATCTTTGGTTATTTTTTTAGAAAGGATTCCTAGGACTAGGAAGCTTGCTCAGATTTTTAAGCTTTTATATTGTTAAGTTACTTTCTAGAAAGAATGTTCCAATTTGTACTTTAAGTAGCTGTGTATGGGAGTGTCCATTAACCTTCCTAGGGTTGGAGGAAAGCAAAACAGAAACTCAGTCTACGTGAAAGTTACCCTTGCCTTCTCCAGGAACACCAAGGAAGTGATGTCTCACTGTTTGAATTTACCTTTTTCAGGCTTTCTGCGAAGAGTTGGAATCAATGATACAGGAACAATTTAAGAAGGGGAAGAACCCCACCGGCCTGCTGGCATTGCAGCAGATTGCAGATTTTATGACCACAAATGCTCCAAATGTCTACCCAGCAGCCCCCCAAGGAGGGATGGCTGCCTTGAACATGAGTGAGTACTTCCTGACTCTGCTCGTGCTGTCATTCCCAGGAACAATTTCCTAGCAAAATATATGTGAATCACAGAATGGAGTGTTTTGAAGGAGTGTTGCCTGGCTGGTGTGGCCCAGTGGTTGAGCGTCAACCCTGCACCTAGAGGTTGCTGATTTGATTCCTGGTCAGTGTACATGCTCAAGTTGTGGGCCCGATCCCGGTAGGGGGCATGCAGGAGATGGCTAATCGATGTTCTCTCATTGATGTTTCTCTCTCTCTATCTCTAAAATCAATAAAGAAAAAAATTAATGTGTTTTAGTTATAATAAAAAATAGACTGTAAGCCTGAAAATGTCTTAAGTGTAGAGGGCTTTTTTTTTTTTTTTTGCATTTATTTTCAGATAGGGAGAGAACCATCGATGTAAGAGAGACACATCGAGTAGTCGCCACCCACACAACCCCAACCGGGGCCAGGGACAAACTGCAACCGAGGTACTGTACATGCCCTAAGTGGGAACCGAACCTGGGATCCTTCGGTGTGTGGGCTGACGCTCTAACCGCTGAACCAAAGTGACCAGGACTGGCTCCTTTTTATGAGCCAGTGAGACTTTTATTTCTAAGTCACATGACTTTTTGTGTAGCTTCTCAAATCCTGTGTACATTAAACTAAGCAGAAATAGCCCTGGCTGGTTTGGCTCAGCGGTTAGAGCGTCGGCCTGCGGTCCGGAGACACCCAGGTTCAGTTCCCGCTAAGGGCACATACCTCGGTTGCAGTTTGTCCCCGGCCCTGGTTGGGTTGTGCGGGTGGCAGCCACTCGATGTGTCCCTTTCACGTCGATGTTTCTCTCTCTCTCTCTTCCTCTCTCTCCCTCCCACTCTGTCTGAACAAAATATCAAAAAATGTCCTTGGGTGAGGATTAAAAAATAAATAAACTAAACAGAAATAGTGCTTGTGGAATAGAACATTGATTCTGCCTGAACTCATTTCAGCCAGGCCAACATTTCTTTTTTTTTTTTTATTCTCACCCGAGGACATTTTTTTTTGATATTTTGTTCAGATAGAGTGGGAGGGAGAGAGAGAGAGAGAAATATTGACGTGAAAGCGACACATTGAGTGGTTGCCACCCACACGACCCAACCAGGGCCGGGGACAAACTGCAACCAAGGTACGTGTCCTTAGCGGGAACCAAACCCGGGTCTCTCCGGACCGCAGGCCGACGCTCTAACCGCTGAGCCAAACCGGCCAGGGCAAGGCCAACATTTCTTACCCACCAACCCTCACTGCTGCTTGCAAATGAGTGAGAAACAGAAATTCCAAAAGAAAGCCAGAGGGAAAATGTTGGATGGGTGAATATGAGAAAGTGAGCAAAGAGGGATTAGCTGTGCAAAGGTGGAATCCAGCATAACTGGGACATCAGTTAATGTGACCTCCTGTGTACCCAAGCCCTGGATCAAGCTCTGTTGTACTAGCTGGATAGTCAGCTTCTGAGTAACCAGCATCAGCTGTTGGTTTTCGTTAGATCACCTGGCATTTTCTGTTTACCTGTCTGTTCCATGGTACTCTTAGACTGACATTCAGCAGAGTCATATTTCACTAATGTCTCGAGACTTTTAATTTACTAGCTTAAACCTCCCCCCTGAAGTCATAGTGTAGTCATTAAGGTTTTCATAGGGATTCTTAATGGAACCCAGTGACATTTCATATCAATTAGATAATAAAAGAATAGTGTAATATATTTACTTCCTTATTGTCTTCTAATCAGAGGTAAAGGAAATATTATTTCAATAATGCCATACTGAAAAAAGGAAGACAGAAATCTAGTTAGTTTTAATTATATCAATAGTTTGTTTCTTAAAAATAAAAACTTAAAAACAAATTTTAACCTTTTTTCTGTAGAGTATAACATATATAGCCCTGGCTGGTTTGGCTTAGCGGATAGAGTGTCAGCCCTCAGTCTGAAGGGTCTTGGGTTTGATTCCCGGTCAAGGGCACTTACCTGGGTTGCAGGTTTGATCCCTGACCCTGTTTGGATCATGTGGGAGGCAGCCAGTTGATGTGTCTGTGTCACATTGATGTTTTTTTCTCTCTCCCTCCCTCCCTCCTCCCTCCCTCCCTCCCTCCCTCCCTCCCTCCCTCCTCTCTATCTAAAAGTCAATGGAGCCCTGGCCGGTTTGGCTCAGCGGTTAGAGCATCCACCTGCGGACCAGTGAGTCTTGGGTTTGATTCCAGTCAAGGGCACGTACCTTGGTTGCGGTTCATCCTTGGCCCTGGTCTGGCTCGTGTGGGAGGCAACCAGTCGATGTGTCTCTCTCACATCGATGTTTCTCTCTCTCTCTCTCTCTTTCTCCCCTTCTCTCTCCTTTCCACTCTATCTGAAGATAAATAGAAAAATATCCTTGGGTGAGGATTAAAAAAATAAAAGTCAGTGGAGCCCAACTGGTGTGGCTCAGTAGTTGAGTATCAACCCATGTATCCAGAGGTTCCAGTTTGATTCCTGGTCAGGGCACATGCCCAGGTTGTGGGCCAAATCCCCAATGGGGGGTATGCAGGAGGCAGCCAATCGATGTTCTCTCTCATTGAGTTTCTATCTCTTTCTCTCTCCCTTTCCCTTCGTCTCTCTCTAAAAGTCAATAAAGAAAAAACAAATAGAAGGCAATGGAAAAGTATCCTTGAGTGACGATCTACAACAACAAAACATTTATAGATAGCATAGAACAAATATATAACTCACACATGATTTTAAGGTGACCACCTTTATAATCCCCACCTGCCTGAGGAACAAAGATTTATCAGTCGCTCACCCCATTCACTATCACCCTCTTTTTTTTTTTTTATCCTCACCCGAGGACATTTTTGCATTTATCTTCTGATAGAGCGTGAGGTAGAGAGGAAGAGAGAGAGAGAGAAACATCAATGTGAGAGAGACACATGGACTGGGTGCCATCCACACGACCTCACCCGGGGCTGGAGACAAACTGCAAACGAGGTAAGTGCCCTTAGCAGGAATCGAACCTGGGTCTCTCTGGTCCGCAGACCGATGCTCTAACCACTGAGAAAACCGGCCAGGGCATTCCTTCATTTCTTCTTCCATATAGTTAGGATATTTCTGTACAGAGGAACTTCCCTATGATATGGGGTGTGGCTGGAAAGGTGACTACTCTCTCCCCTGTCACTCAGTGCACATCTGGGGGGAACCTAGTGCTAAACCATTTCATACGCAGCAGAGCAGCTTCCTCATTGCAGTCTATGGAAAGTCAGCCCTCGACACACACACATAAAAGCAGACTTTCCCTCAACTCTTCTTGGTTACCCAGTGGTACAGTTTCTACAGGAAAAGGGGAGTTTTCAAAATAAAAATGTGGTTTTCTGTCATCCGTCTAAGGTGACCAACTATTATTATTTTGAGCTCAGAATTAAATGTATTTCATGTGTTTCAAAATATTGCAATTATCTTTCTTAATGCTCAGATTTTCCCATTTTTGACCAGTGGGAATCTCTCCAGGTCGACTCCTGAGCCTCCTAGTCTGACAACTTCCAAACTGTCACAATAAGAATGCTGGTTCTCAAGGACTCCAGGTCTAACGAAACTAGAATATTGCACGATTAGTCGACTTTCTCCCATGTATCAAACACATTACCAATTACATACCACCAGTATGTTCTCTCTTCGTGTTCTAAATAGTTATGCTCTGTGTTGTCAGCATATAATCGCTACAGATGTTCATTTAGTGTTATAATTAACTCGATTCTTTAATCACTGTGTACTTAAAGCTTACCACCGGTCCTTGTACCAGTGTCCCCATCATTTTGGTTTTCTGAAGTTTCTTCCACAATAGACTTCTCAGAAAACACTTGTGGAGATAATACCCTTGGGTTGTCACACAAGGGTGTGACCTTTCTATATCAATGTTAATTTAATTTGATTAGTTTGGGTGTGAAATCTGTGACTCACACTTTTCCTATTTTCTGTACCTTAAATACATGATTCATTTTCTTCTGGCCCAAAGCATTACTATTAAAAGTTGAAGACAGCTTTTCCACCAAAGTGTCTCAGGCTGTGCAAACTGTTTTTCTTAGGGTCCAGCAAGTTTATTAGAATATATCTTAGTGTTGGTTGTTTTGGGTTAATTTTCCCAGATGATGTGCCCTTCCAAATAGTTTTTATTTTTATTTTCTTGAATTGGTGTGTAGTATTTAATCTGTTGCCTTGCTTTTGCTTTCTTCTTCAGGGGTTCCTGTCATGTACATCTTGGATTTTCTTAGGGTATCTTCTTTTAACTGCTGTTCCTCAAATCTTTTTTATCGCTTTCTTTATTTCTTTATGATTTAAACATGTTTTCTTTTTAATTCTCCAGCTTTCATTTAATACTTATGGCCCTGGTCGGTTTGGCTCAGCAGTTAGAGCGTCGGCCTGTGGTCCAGAGAGACCTGGGTTCGGTTCCCGCTAAAGGTACTTACCTCGGTTACAGTTTGTCCCCGGCCCTGGTTGGGTCGTGCGGACTGCAACCACTCGATGTGTCCTTTTCACGTTGATGTTTCTCTCTCTCTCTCCCCCTCCCACTCTATCTGAACAAAATATCGAAAATTGTCCTCGAGTGAGGATAATATTTATGTTTTAAAATCATTTAAAAAATTTAGACTTCCGGTCAAGACGGCGGCGTAGGTAAACGCGGTATGGCATCCTCCATCAAAGTTACAACTAAACTACAGAACAACCATCATTCAAAACCACCTGAAATCAAGCTGAATGGAAGTCTGAAAACTATGGAATTAAAGAAGCAGCCACATGGAGACTGGTAGGAGGGGCGGAGGTGGACAGGCTGGTCCCACACCCACGTGTGGCGGATAAAAATCAGGAGGACACCTCGGCTGGGAAGGTCCTCCCTGAGGACTGAGGGGTCCTAGTCCCACACCAGGTGCCCCGCTCAGGGTTCCAGTGCCAGGAAGAGAATCCCCATCACTTCTGGCTGGAAAAACCAGCGGGAACTGAGGCTCAGGAAGGCTGAGGCGTCTGGAGCC